GTCCACAAATGTCTCTGTTCCGGAGAGGTTCTTTATGAAAGCCCTAGCCCTCGCCAACCTACGACCTTTATTGTGTTGGGGATGGATGTTTCGTGGAAGAGGGTCAACAATAAAGGAATTCCTTGTTTGATAATCAAGCTGCGTAGTTTCTCCCTGATTGAAGATAGGACGGAGGCCTGCCGCATCGAACAGAGAGAACACAAATACACACACACAAACTAGTGAATACCTGGTGATTGACCCCCGAAAACTACCTGGTGACTGACCCCCTAACTTGCTCCTTCGGCGCCCTCTGGCACTCACATCGCCCAATTAGTTACTATTATGTAGTTCACAGCGATATTTTACAATTTTGCTGTGAATGCTAGAAGGACGAACGCCGCAGCTACGACGTTTACAAAAGAAATTTGGTGCCCTTTTCAAGCGAGTACCAGCGCCGCACTTTGACGCGTTGTTCCTCTATCTCCTCTCTTAGTGAAAGAGAAACAGCGTGATAAACGAGCGATCAGAGAAACAAGGGCACAGACGGAGGGCTGTATGTGTCCTCGTTTGTCTGGTCTCTCGTTTTTCGTGCTCCTTCTTTTCACTATGCCATATCAACAGACCCAAGCAACCACTTTACTTCCTGGTGCCTCGCACCTACCATCTGGTACTTTGACTTTCCACTTCCCCTCTTAGACGGGCGACCCCTGCCTGTGATTACCACTCAGAAAACTAGCAGGTGCAGTGTTTATAGGAAAGGCTCCATCACTCAAAAAAACACCAAGACCTCTAGAGAGCCTGGCCAATTTGTTATTAGTTCAGAAGGGTTGCTTATCGGGCTAGTTTGTCATCCATGAACGTAGTGTGTATTATCGCAGTACATAAAAGAAAGGGACACAACACATTAGTGTAAGACAAAAGGGGTGCCTACTTTTATTGATTGACACGGGAGCCGATATATCTGTTATTTATGCGAATTTGTGTTCTCGTCTACGTAAGGTTGCAATACTTTATACTGGCGCTAACTTAAGTAGCGCAAATGGCTTTCAGTTGTGGCCAATCATCACAGTCCGTTAGAGTTTTCATTGATGGCTTTCGGCACCATATTCAGTTCGCCCTGTTGTCCTTTTGCGCTTATATGCTTATTTTATGTTGGTACTTTCTGATGCCACTGCTTCCATCTCTTGTCAAAATTGACTCATACATATGCGAAACAGCATAGGCGTAGTCACGGGGTGGCACACCGGACGCATTGCTCCCCCCCCCCTAAATATTTCTGGCTCCGCACCTGCCAGAGACTGATGACATCTACCCAAAAGATTCGTCACATCAGCGGCTACGAAGAGTCAACAATTTTCAAGTGCCACTTGTCCACGAGCACGTTATCACCATTATAGACAGTTATAGTATAGCGGGCTTACTGTGATAGCGGGATTGTAGTGCGCATGTGCACATACGTACGTTATCTGTACCGCTTGCCATACGCGCATATCTTTCACATTTAAAGTTACTGTGTTAGTGTGGTGTACGTAGTGTACGTAAGCATGGCGGCGCTTTCGGACGCCTGCTTCTAAATGATTTTGGCGTGGTTGTTGAAAGATTCAGTTAGTTTCGGCAAACGATTGTTTAAAAAGGCTTCGCTTGCCTTCAGTTAGCTTCGATGACAGAGTATTACGAATAAGCTAGCGCAGTTTATGGGATAGCTTTCCATTTAGAACGTCTGTAGACCTAAGTCAGCAACCACAATGTTTTCTTGTCTGGTGCGTGGTTCATATTTGTTTACTTTTAATATTACCGAAATAAACTTTTAGTAATGCGTAGCGCGGTGACAGAGGTAAACATTTTCGTTTTTTTCCTCTTTTCACTGTTCTCTAACTTATCAACCTTCGGATAGGTGGCACGACTATCGCAGTTGGCGCACGTAAACCACGTAAACTCTATCCCGCTCAATTGTAAGATGCTGTCCGCAACGAACGTTTGCTGCAGGGTTACACCATTCCCTTAACCCTCGCTATTACACTAACGGTAAATTTTAACTGTCTTATGTCAGACTTTATTGATCACAGTGACGTGCTAGTCGCCCAATCAGCCCGTTGTTTATCCAGAGGTATTGCACTAGCATCGAGTCTTGTCTGATTCACCTACGGCACCACGTTTCTCGCAGTACTTAACATCGCAAATAAGCCGATTGTGCTTCCCAAGGGCACGGTTATAGTATGCAGCGTGGATAGACAAGATATCGCTGTAGTGGATACGAATAGTAGCGTGCTTCAATCGTGCTCACCAACAGATGCGCCGACTACTGAGCCTCTCGTCAATGCAATCAGCATCGATGGGACTCCACCAGAAGCAGACGAACTACTCGCGCTGTTACCGAAGCATAAATCCTTTTTCGGCGTACCTTCACATGCCCTAAAGCAGACTTCGGCAGCAGCTCATCGCGTACACGCATACCGACGGAACTTATATTGTTCGGCGCTGTCCATATACCGTGTCTTTGCTAGCGAACGTGAGACCATCGACAAACACCTTTCTGCTGTGCTGAAGCAAACGTCATCCACCCTTCCGCAAGCTCTTTATCGTCACCTGCCATACTCGTGCGCATGGAAATTGGCTCGGTGCGATTCTGCGTCGACTACCGCACATTGAACAAAACCAGAAAGACCGTATATCCCTTGCCTCTCATTCATGATGGCTCAAGTATTTTTCAGGTTAACAGTTTTTTTTTGAAAAAAAAAGCTCGAAACTATTTCTGTTGCTATTGCCTAAATCCACAGTAAATTTCACCAAAAGTGTGTGCAATCTTATCTGAACACACCCTACTACAGAATCAGGCACAAATGGGCCTATGCCGGCAACAAATGCTCTTAAATATTGTAAACAGCACAAATCTGGATTTGATCAATTACACGGAGTTGCGTCTTGGCAATGGGCTACAAAAAATAACTGCTCTCGCGGATTTTTGTTCCTACTCTTTTGTCTACATTTTAGCTTCAGAATGAATTTAACTACCATGTAGTAAGAGCACGGGACCTGTACAGTACTTTGTACAAATCTCCGTGGCGTATGAGCAGTGATTATGGTGCTCGGCTGCTGACCCGAAGGTCGCGGGTCAAATACCGGCCGCGCTGGTCACATATTGATAAAGATGAAATGCTCGAATTTCGCGTAGTGGTGTCACCCTAAAGGGAAAGTAATGTCGCATAGCAATTTACCTCAGAGTGAAAGTTCAATTTATGACATCTAAAACGACAATATTATCAACGGCGGTGCCCTACATACCGAGAAATTAGGGTTAATGCACTAGAATACATGCGCCGCAGTAGGACATTTAGAAAGTGATATGGATGACGTCAGATCAACCGCCTACTAATAATCACTAGCAATCGTTCTAGCTGCAGTAAATAAACAAACGTTCTGTGCATCAAGAGACGCAATAAAATGCTTCTTGTTCGTTTCTGATCCTAGAGAAAAAAACCGCCGGACGTTACTATAAGGAATGGCTTGAGTGGTTCAAAAATTCAATTTCCGCTTGGTTAAACTGGGAAAGTCGTGCTTTCTATCGGGGACTAGTTAAAGCAAAACACGTCTACCATGTCGGGGTCCATGGCTGCAAATTGATTCATGGCCGTTGTTGCTGTTGTGGATCCCGCTGCTATAGTTCTGTCTACTAGTGTCAGCGACCTTGCTGTAAAGCCGGGCAATGTTGTGCACGACAACAGTGACGTGGGTCGGTTTGCTTCTTGAGGCGGGTAGTTTGAAGTGCTGTAGTCAATGCAAGCCACTAAAACGTGATTTTATTTCAAAATAAGCCCTTCTTTAGCACAAAAAATCACCATAAGGTTACCGAACCACTATTTCAACAATCATTGTCGACCTAATTGTTGCTTTAAGAGTTTTTTTAAAGAACACCACATGGTCAGTATTTCCAGAGCCCTTCACTGCGGGGTGTCTCATAATCGTATTGTGGTTTTGGGACGATATATCTCAGATATCATAATTTGTACCATGTACACTTCTTTGTTCGCCTCTCTACTGGCTATAACAACAAATCAGAAGTGCTTTATCTGCATGTACTTATTACGAAGTATTATGCCATAAAATATTATGAAATATTATAGTAGAATAAGATGCCACCGGCCTATGGCATGTTACCTTTTCGCCTGTTTTACCCGTTTACATCGTAATAGACCCTTTTCAATAAAGGGTGGGCCTTGTGCCGAGGACGTAAACTACAGTCTGCCGCCATTTTGAGGGCACCGCAGCGGACGACGCAGGCTGTGTGTCCCAGCGACACTGATGCGCGTTTTTTGCAGCACACACAGACACCTCTTTTGTTCCTGCTGGACGCGGACTGCGTCTGGAAGGGACGCCGATAAGAGGCTCTTGCAGGCTGGATCCATGCATTGCCAGTCATAACAAGCCAAACTGCTTTTCCAACCCGTTGAAGGGTACAAAATATTGCTTATTGTGCACCAAAAGCAGCTCAGAAGGCTTCTCGGAGAGTACTATGAGCTCGTTCAAGCTAGAAAGCGGTGAGATGGCAGCGGCCGATACCGAGAACTAGCCGCCAACACAAACATCACAGCACTCACGCATTTGACGGCTTGCTTTCCATACCCTTATGATGGGGCTAGCTATCCCACACTCCTTTGCGAAGCGAAACTGGCAAAAAGCTCACCGTCCAGTGGCGTATTTAAGATAAGGGTCTATTTCGTCTTTCCTGCTCCCTGTGTTTGACCCTTTGCCTAATCCTCCAGTGTAGGATAGCCAACCGTTTGTCTTCCTGGTTAACCACCCTGCCTTCTACTTTTGTCTGCTTCCTTCCTTCCTTCCTTCCTTCCTACACTGTAGTTACTAGAAGAAATCTCCCGTATGTTTTCCTTGGCTTTCTTATCTCTTAGTCCTAAATATTGTTGTGTCTAGCAAAGCAAAACGAGCCCTCAGAATTTTTCTTTCAGTCGTCAGAGTACAAATGCCATCTCGTTATTTCAAACCATGTGTTTATTTTTCGTACATGCAACAAAGCAGAGCAAATGACCCTCTTTTCCCCACCACCTCCAGCAGCCGCAGCATCCAGTGAGCCTGGTGTCAACAGCAAGTAGACGACTAAGACACCAGGTGTAAAAGTCGATCACACAGTGGAAGTGTGCATACTGACACTATTGTGGCAAAAACCAAGGTACGCGTAGGCGTAGAATACACATAGAAGACCGGTGCACTAGTGCCAGCCGCCGTGCTTGCCGAGCGCTCCAACGCCTCGGCTGCCGAGACCTCCGTAGAGACCAGTGGCCCCGTATCCGGCAGCTTCCCCACCATAGAGGGCACCAACGCCACCATACAGAGTGCTCGGCCTGACGCCGGCATACGACGACCCAGTCGGGCCGTACTTGGCTGCGAGCACGTAAGCCGGCGGGGAGGACGACCTCAGGGCCACGTCGGCTGGACTCTCACTCTGTGTGCCGGGCTCGTTGGTGTCGACCACGGCACGGAAGCCTGCTGCGTCGGCCGTGTACTTGACCTTGCGCTGGCCGCCTTCCGCCGTGGTGATGGTGTACACTCCCTGGACAGCACCATTGCCATCGCCTACCTCCTGGCGAGAGCTGGAACCGCCCAGCGCCTGAGCGACGTATCCGAAACTGTATGGCCTCGGCCGATTGTTTTCGTAGGCTCTGCTACCCTGCAAAACACACGGATTCACTATGTCAGGACACTTGGTGGACGTGCACGATCAACTTGTCTGTTTTTTTCATCGTGAAGCCTATGTGCTAGGTAATCACTGGAAAACAACAAAGCTATCCCATGTAAAAAATTTCAACGGAGATGGTATGCCATTCAGTATCAGAGCATGGCATCCTGGTTAGACGTTTGTTGGTGTTTGTGGTGGGGCTGCTTCAAATGGCTACTTACTCCGCCATAATAACCGCCACCACCGCCGGCGACATAGCCACGTCCAGCGTAGCCGCCTCGGAACCGAGCGCTGCCTGCTCCGAGACCACCGAAGGCTGCACCGCCGTATCCACCAGGGATATTACCAGCCTTTGCCATGACGGTGTAGAATAGGACGGATGAGATCACAACCTGCATGTATTGGGGCGTCGAACGCTTAGCGAGAGTCAGAGAGGCAGGTTTCGCGCGCCATTTATGGCATTAATGAAATGCTCAATAGAAAGCCTTCCAACTGGCAGCTACAAACCAGTGGCATTAACGGAAAAAATTAATGTGGGATAGCGAATTTAGGAAGCTGAGGAGTGTGACCCCACAGCTCAGCATTATCTAATGACGTCCCATACAAAACACCATTGATGAGTTGATAGCGTGCGATTATTTGTTCACAATAGCAACATTAAGATTGTAAGTGGGCTGAAACAGGCATTCGCCTCGTCATGTGAATTCAGCTTGCGCAGATGTGAAGCTGTTATACTTCTTTCCTAAGCAGAATCTGCTTAATTGGATTGAACGAAGCGTATGGCTTTTTAGGTCCTGAACCACGGCTTTCAGGTCGATGGTTTTCTTCTACATACTATAAGTTGTCTCACCTGAAGTGCTTCAGTTGTACCCTTCAAGGGCATTAGGATTGTGTTGTTTGTTATATGTGTGTGACATTCAAGGGGGGGGGGGGTACCAAAGCCCTTCTCCGCAAGCTGCTTAACTACGGAAATGTTGCCGACAAAACACGTAGGTTGTTTGCACTGTTTTCAGAGTTCTTTTAAAGCCATACTTAGAATGTCTATCTATTCGCCTCCTGTAATTGTTGAATATAAGACCCCAAAGAGCAACACAATCTTAGCAGGACACTAATTTCATACCTTATGCGTGAACATGCGCCAAAATAAGCCCAACAGAACCTCGGGCATTTAATTTTTTGTTATTGTACTTAGTTGTTTAGAGTTAATAGAAGTCTGCTTAAATAGCGCACTGGGCATAGCGCCTATAGTGACCACGCACTGTTCGGAGCCCTCTACCTGTCTCTCGTTTATAAATAGGCCAACTTTTGCAAGTATCACCCATTAGGCGTATCAGACATTGAGATGCTAAAGAAATACACTTTTGCAGGTCTATCATTGCATGTGCGCTTTTTACACTTTCAAACTGCGGATACTCACGCCTGGTGGTAATAAATTGGATTCCATGGCGAATGTATAACACGTCGGTTCAGCTGTGGCGTAGCTGTCACAAAGAGAGGCTCCGTTGCATGGTGCCCATAAGAACACGCCTCAGTCTTCGAGCACATGATATTCTCTAATCATCAAGCCGAAAATGCACACGTGCTACCCTCGTGTCAAAGTGGCATGAGACTACTGATCGCGTTTCTTCGAATGGCATTGCTACATTGCAAAGGTATAAATACGACAATGCGCAAATAGCGCACCTGTAGTTCGTAAGTGATCATCCTAAATACTAAGCCTGCAAACACGGACACATGCAAGAAGTCAGGACGCCCACATCGTTTGTGGTATCTTGACTTTTTTTTCTTCTGTCCGCGTTTGCACACCCCGTATGTTAGAAAGCAATGATGTGCTTTCAAGGGAAATAATTTTGCCTCGCTACTCACGAATTACGGCCAATGTGACACGCAGCCAATAGCGTGGTAGAAACGTTCGCCGCTTGCACGAAGATTAGACACGTGGTACATAAACACAAGATAACCGTGAACCGACAGCAGCGTCATAGTTCCCTTCAATATTTTTTCCTCAAGGTGTGAATTCCGCCCCGCTATGCACTTCCCGTTCCTCAGAGGCGCTCCTCACCTTCCACATGGTTGCTCACTGGTGCCGCTGCTTGTGTTGCTGCTGCTGCGGTGGTGAAATCGTGTTGTGTCCTCGGTGACTGGACCACAGCTGTTTTATACGATCCGCTCCTACATTGCACTGAGTGATGCTTTGCAGCGGGAATTTATGCGGCAATGACGAGGAGGACGCGATGCCCTGGTCACTCCCCTTTCTGTATTCCTCTCAGTTTCAGTGGCCGCCCTTGTTGCGGCACTTCTTCCGCCTAATGAGAGCGCACCGCTTCCACGGGGGCCTCGCCGTCACTCAGCAGGAGTCGCTGCTGAGTGACGGAATCACTAATCGCGTGGTGCCGGAATCACTAATCCGACAAGCACGCACCGGCAGGATCGACAGGGTTGGTTTGTGTCCTTATTGTTTGCGATGGTCTCATAACGGCACTTACACGACAACCGAACGCCAAACGTAAGCGTCACTCACGGAATTTCGATTCTCCTACGCGCGTGCGAGCAGCGCTCCTATCGAAGGTGTATATACACAAGGAAGATGTTTCGGCAAGTGCGCACGACATCACCATATCGCTTTTAATTAGGACGCATATAATGAAGTGGAGTGATACGTGCGAAGAAAACACAACTAAGGATGACGAGATGTGGTCGTCGCGCAGTCGACAGATACGAATCTGAGATTGCTCGGCATTGCTGAAGCTAACCTTTGAATTACTAATTGGTAAATGTTGAAATGAGAAACAAAATGGTAGGACAAGAAAAATGTCGTTAGACTTCAACACATTCGGTGAAACGGCAAAAGGACTGACTGTAGTAATGAAGCGTAGCTGTGTAGCATTAAAACGGCATATCCGTATAACACTTGTAGCGCGAAGAAGCACGAGACAAGAGTAGAAGAAAAAGTAGCGCTTTGTGTCTCTATATATCTTTCTCGTGTTCTGTTTCTTTGCTCAACCATTGTTATCTCATTAGGTAAAACGGCTTTGATCCAAAACTTTTCAAGCACAGATGACACTTCGGTATTGAACTTGCTTTTATAGAAATATGATTCTTTTTCAAGTAGCATAAGTGAAATTCATTACGTAGGAATGCCTTCCCAGAGGTCTCCCTCAAGTTTCTTCATGTAGGCTAATTTCGCCTAAGACATGCGACCATCAATGTTTCTCAAATCGACAGTGCAGAAAATAGTTATTGCACGGTTACTCCTATTGCTATCACTGCACACTATCATGCTGTGGTCACAATGGATAATGTCATCCTGGAAACATTTGCTGAAGCCTGCCTACCTCCATCGAATTCTAATGGACCACTAACAATCCCTCGTACATCAGATAGATGTTATGCGTGAGACATTAGAAGGTCCAGTGGACCTCCGTACTTATTCTGATGACCAATAGAACGGACGAACCATCCGGTGCAAAGAAAAAAACGTCAACTCTAATGTCATGAACATCTCTTTTCGGACATTTATACGTTCAGCAGACTTCAAAATATGGACCAGAACGTCCAAGGGACGAGTCCATACTGTGGACATCTTTATTAAACCCGGAATTTAGGTCTTAATAAAAGACTTAAATGCATCTTTGGTTTCACATTAACAAGCCTGATATAAAAAAAGGACTAAAGGGGAGGTTACTCCTTTTGGGGATCAACGGATTCCCTACAACGAATTGTCTTTTTGGGTACTGGCTGCAAGAGGAGAAACAGTTAGTCCTAGAAGGGTAACTTACACGGGCCCTAACGGTTGCTCCCGAAAAGAGTAATGTTTACTACTGTAAGAACTAATACCTGATTTTAGGATACGATTCCTAACAGAGTAATTATTTCGCCCATAAAGACTAACTGTTCCCTTCAGAGATGATCCTTGGGAGAGCGATTGTTTCAATCATTAGGACTAAATGTTGATCTTGAGAAATCATCCCTGGGTGCGTGAATGCTACCCTTTCGCGATAAACTGTTAATCTGTTTAAGAATTTCTGAAGCAACTAGTGATATACCCAGTATTCATTAACCTGTGAATGACCTGGCCATTTTCACTAGACTGGCATGAAAGGTGCACTTGACTTTCAAGGCTAAAAACATTTATTTTCTCCAAAAGTGTTTTACCTTGATTATGCATATTCCGGCTAACGTGGTGCATGCGAACGCCGAGTGCATACACTTAGGATGACTGCACGCCAAGACTTTGGTAATTATGTCGAATGTACCAGTTAAACTTAATCATTTGTGTTGGACGTGCTCCTGCCGTGGATGTCTTTGTCTTAAGATATGATGCTCACACTTATGCGACTTTTCGCAGTCAAACGGTACCATATGATTATTAGGGCACCCATTGGTGTACGCAATAACACAGTAAACAAAGAGAAGCATAGTGCATATGTAATTGAAGGTATAGCATCTGAAGCACTGAAGTTCCTAATTATGAATAGGTGTTTGATGGCGCCGTCATGTTTTGGCTTTTTCCAAGTTTTAGAGGTTGTATGCTATTCTACTGAAAAACCAAACCATCTATTCAGCATTCTTCACTTGCTTTATTGTGCTGTTGTTTTAACCAAAAAGTACCTCAAGGCAGGTATAAAAGTCTCACTGGTAAAGGTTGCGTGAGAGAGAACGCATCAGCACTCGGCACAATATCCACAGTAGGATTTTCAGCAATAACTATGGATGCCTCCTGTGAGGCTCAAGATATTTAATGGAGATCCCACAGATGTGCAGTGATCGAAAATGGTTGAAGCTTTTGAATATAAGACGAAAGAGGCAAAATAAAAGGCATCATCACCACGGAGGGAGAGTTTTCCAATTCTTGAAGAGAGGAGGGGTGATATATATATATATATATATATATATATTGTAACATACTAGAAAAAGGTAGAGAAGTAGAGAAGAGAAGCAGAGGAAGACGAAGAGTCTTGGCACGACCGCTGTGTGCTGCCTCAAACGACCGTCGTTCACCTACTGTAAATAAAACCATCTTATCACAGCTCGCTGTAACAGTTGTGGTAGAAGTGCGGGGTAATCGACACCCGAAGACGGAAGGTGAACCGCAAGTTCTTCGACGGAGCCGTCGCATTGCTGGACTTCCACCGAATCCATCTGGTCTGGACATGTCCCACAACGCAAATGAACACCGACCCCTCTCGACTTCTGCGCCGACCAGTTCGGCTCCACAACTGAGAGATGCTCGTCCCTTTGCCGGCAGACCAGATGAAGACGTCGAGGCTTGGCTCATCCATTACAAACGGGTGAGCGCCGCTAACAAATGGGATGCCGCTTCTCAGCTTTTGTACGTCGTGTTCTTTCTGACGGATAC